TTATTCGTGTTCTTAGATATCTAAGGTTTACCCGTGATCATGGTTTGAACTTTACTCGATATCTTACAGTACTGGAAGGTTATTGTGATGCCAATTAGATATCCGATACTAAAGATTCAAAATCCACTAGTGGATATGTCTTTACTCTGGGAGGCGCTGCTGTTTCTTGGAAATCCACGAAACAAACATGCATCGCACAATCCACAATGGAATCTGAGTTCATTGCTTTAGATAAAGTAGGAGAAAAAGTAGAATGGCTTCGCCACTTCTTAGAAGACATTCCAATATGGTTGAAATCTGTACCAGTTATTTGCATTCATTGTGATAATCAATCTGCAATAGGCAGAGCATAAAGTCATATGTATAATTGTAAGTTACGACATATTCGTCATCAACATAATACCGTAAGACAATTGCTCTCAAATGGAATAATCTCAATAGATTATATAAAATTTAAAAAGAATATTGTGGATCCGTTAACAAAAGGTTTGACAAAAGAGCAAGTGTATAGTTCATCGAAGGGGATGAGATTAAAGCCTATTACATAAGAGTCATCATAATGGTAACCCTTTAGATAACTGGAGATCCCAAGAACTAAGTTCAAAGGGACAACTAAGTTAAGTGTGGCTCGCTAGAAATCACCAAGGGAATAAAATTTCCTACACATTCCTATGGTAAGAGTGATATCTGCAACATGTGTTGTATGCAGGGTTTTAAGGATAAACTTTATTTTTACTGATTACTTATATCTTGATTTAGGTATAAAAATAAAGACGAGTATAAGAGATACTCACAATAAGAATCACACATATGCGTGTCGAAATGGGGTCGGTTCTATGAGAATGAATAGGGTAAATTCTCTAGAAGCACTCATGAACAACCAGGAGCGTTCAAAGCCAAAATGAACACAACCAGGAGAACCACAATGTGTGAGAAGATATTTTGTGTGAAATCTGTTGTCTTAGCTTACACAAACAGCTGAACAATTCAAGACATCGCGTCCATTGGTTAACTAGTAAGTCCGATAGGTTATCATTAGAGAAAATTCAAGGCCGAAAGTTACCTATCCTGATGCAAGATATTTTCGATTTATAGTCTTTCAACAAATTCTGCATATTGTTGTATTTCCATTGTCATCAAATTCCATCATGTGGGGGATTTTTAGAAATAGTTTTGGAAAAAACTGATTTTTCCTAAACTTTGGTATAATTTTTAGGTGGGACCCATGTACCAAAGTTGGCGGGTCTAAATAGTAACGCGTTCTATGCTGCGTTGTGATTCATGTAATATATTTGGTTACTCAAAACCATTATCGAGTGAATAGAAAATTGATACCAAAATGGGCTCAATGAAAATGGTGTGTTTGGTGGAATTTTCATAAAGGTTTGAGTTAAGGTTTGTCCTACATTGGTTTGGTGGGCCAACTTTGTGTGGGTTTATAAGGCTTGAATTTGGAATTTGGGGTAAGTCTCAAGGGACACTCAAGTTTTGTAGATGAGGAGATTATGAGCAAAGTGGGCTAGACCCATTGGACCCAAAACAAACACACACGCGCACACCGTTGTCCGTTCGTCTGTCCCATTAGTTGGGACGGCTGGACTGGGCTTGAGTTTGGGCACGGGTGCGTGGTGTGAGGTTGGATTGTGCTTGTCCGGCCCACTACTAATTCTTTTTGAGCAAAAAACATTTGATTTTGGAAAATAAATTCTAACAGTTTTGTTTTCAAATTTCGGTTAGAGAAAAATTCAAATTTGGCTTGCACTTCTTCAAAATCTCTATACAGGTTCCATATCTATCCGAACAGAATTATATCTGTACAGTTCAAACAAATTTAAAGCCAAATAGTTCCGAACAGGTACCGTACTTGTTGGATTCAAATTTGAAAAGCCATAATTTCTCCTATAAATAGACAAACCCTCATTTGGATTTTTCATTTTCAAAAAATTCATTATTGTCTCTGCTATTACTCTTTGCATTTTGCTGCATTCATTTTCTTGTGAGAAAGAGTGTAAACATAAAGTGTGTTCGTTGTATGAATAGTTTGTAGTGTTGCTACTATTCGTTGTTGATCATTTTATCTTGAGAGATAAAAATCCGCAATCTGAAAGTACCGTGGAGAGGACGAATCTATCTTAAAGACACAGTGTTAAACACTGAACTTGATCAAAATTTTGTTCAAGAAATTAATAAGGCAAGTAATTAATTTGATTTATGTTTTATTATTTTTCTTTTTTTAGATTTTGATTTTGTTTTTGTAACAAAATAAGAATCTGCTGTTTTATTTTATTTTATATACTGGGTTGATTTTTATAATTAAACAGTCTATCTCTTTTTTTTAATTTCCTTGAATACATTGAAGATTATCCAACAGTTTCCATGTTCTCAGTTTATTCATAATGCCATACCTAGACCAACCTCTTACCTGTGTATCTTCCCATACCATTTTCACTTCTTTAAGGAACATAGGATGCAGAACCCAAGCATTTATGAACCCAAAAGGTATAGGACCCCAATCTCTCTCTTTCTCCATCAATAATATGGGGCAGTGATCGGATAAAAATCTGGATTGCCTCCATACTTTGAGTTTGAACCATTCTAAGCATTCTGGATTAACTAAGAATCTATCAATTCGACTCTAACTCTAGGAATTACGCCATGTGTATTGTCTACCCATCATAGGAATATCCAACAATTCCTCTTTATCTATGAAGTTCCCAAACTCAGACAAACCCTTATTTCTCCTCGCGCACCATTTTCTCTCCACAATTGAAGTGATTTCATTAAAATCTCCTTCTAAACACCACAATTTAGGACTTGATTCTTCCAATTTGGATAACACCCCCCAGAAATTCCTCTTATCTGTTTTGGTGTTGATATTTTTAATTTGTTTTAAGAACTGCTTTTATAATTAATATTTATATAAAAATTAAACTTAAAAGGGATGATACTCGATATTATAATCATAAGTTTGATAAAGAAAATATTTATCAATTGAGTAACACATTTAATGTTTGTATGTATTTTTATTTTTCGTTATTTTCATAATATTATTTTTTAAAAATTGCACACACATCACATGTGCACGTGTATATAAAATGATACTCTATAAATGAGTTGAAAAATATTTAAAATTTTAATTTTAGAGTATTAAATGAGATTGTTTTAGAAGGAATAACATATCAATTGAGAAAAAAATATTTATTTACAAAAAACTGAAAAATTTATAATTTTAATTATTAATATTTATAATATTACCTTTTTGTGTATATATATATATATATATATTTTTTTTCCTAATCTCACTTATATGTAATTCTCTCTTCTTCTTCTTCTTCTTCTTTTTTTAAAATTTATTGGGCAGCTCAATAACTCAACCCGTCCTCCGACACACTTGTATGGCCTACTTATTAATTTATTGATTTCTTCTTATTTGAAAATAACATATAAGCTTACTTTTTCGACTTAATTTTTAGATTTAATGATGCATAAGTAATATGATTAATTAATAATTAGAGGAGATATGAGATAGAGTGTTAACTTTAATAGCCTAATTGATTGCTATATTATTGGACTTGAAAAGTGGGTTTAATTTTTGGTTTTGAATAGTAATGCTCTTGTTTTATTCCTATTACAATATGTATATTTATAGTAGTTGAGTATTAATTAAAGTTAATGTTAGATTTATTATATTAATATAATTTTGATTGTGTTACACTAGGATATAAATGAATTTAGTAGAGCTAAATAATAAATTGTTCAATTTTTTTTTTGAAAATTTCACAAATTTTAAAATGTATGCAACAGTGCTACATTTACATAATTTCTCTCTTACAATCCCTTGAATGAGGTGGTACATGCATGCAAGGAGAGTTTTAAGGAAATATTGGAGTGTGAGTCAATTTTTTAAATTTTGCTTGTTAGGTCATTTAAGGAATTTGTAGAGAATAAATTGTGTGGATAAAATATTTTTTTTATTAAATAATGAATTGATTTTAAATGAGCTTTTAACAAACTCCATACGAGTCAAATTGCAATAGCTTAAATTTTAGTGCATATATAAGCTAATCAAGCGAAGTAATACACTATTTAAATTTAACTTGAAAATTTATTGAGTTCTAAAATATGTTTAAAATTAAATAATTTACATTTTTTTATCAACAAAAAAAAAAATTCATTAAAAACATAAAACTAAACTAGTTTACATAATGAGCAGATCGCGAACAATCATCTCCCTAATGAAATATGAGCCAAGCTTTAGCCTCTGTTTGGGAAGTGGGTTGATTTTTAATTTTTTGACTTTTTTGGCTATTTTAACCTGGGCTAAAAAGTTTAGTTTGGGAAGGACTTTTTGGCTTTTTGATTTTTTTGACTTTTTTTGTGAGAGAAGAATGTAATGATTATGGGTTGGATGTGATATTTTATTTTTTGTGATTAAAATAGCCTATTTTATTTTTTGTGATTAAAATAGCCAAAAAAATCTCATTTAGCTCTTGCCAAACGGAGTCTTAGTTTTTCAGCCTAGTGTTTGGTGAGAAAATAAATGAAATGAAATAATAAATAAGATTTGATAAAAAAAATTGAATAATAGTACATAAACACAATATATATATATATATATATATATAATATACAAAATAGTATATTTTTTTATTTATATTCACAAAAAAAAAAATCATCTTTACACCATTTTTTCGGGTAAATTATATTTTATTTATTTATTTGGAAGGGGATTGTCTATCATGTTACGTATGTACAGTTTGATCATCCTACGGTCTATGGTGGTGTTTTAGATTTATGAGGAGACTAATGCCTTTATAGGGTGATGACACCATCATTAGCTCCAAATCTAATGGTCGGTTTTACTTTCTCATGGGTATCAGTACTTCTTTGTTGTTGTTGTTGTTAAGAAGAGTCAATTACTTGTACGAGGTCATAACCTTACAATCAGACGGTTGATATGCCATTACAAGGAGAGAGAGAGAGACATGATGATGAAAAAGAGAGAATTAGAGAGATAGAGATAAATATACATTATACATAGATACATGTATAGAGAGAGAGAGAGAGAGAGAGAGAGAGAGAGAGAATGTGCATGGGTTCGTGGTCATTTCTGGAACCCAGCTGGTAGGTTTAAAGGTTCTCTTCCCTGTAGCTTTTGTCTTTTTACGTGGGCTTCCCACTCTCTCTTTTACCCTTCTTATAATCCCCCCAAAACAAATCATTCTCTTCATCGTCACCATCTCTCTCTTCTCTCCCCCTTGAAGAAAGGCGAGACTCTTGGGGGACTTGCAGATGACAGAGATAGAGAGAGAGAGAAGCATGAATGGGAGCTGAAGAAAGATGATCAAGAAAAGGGGTTGTCTCTTTTGAGGGGAATGTTGTCTGGCTCGAGGACCCTTTCTTGATCAGTATCTATTGTAGATCTGAGGTATTCATAGATCTGTATACATTTATACAAGAGAAAGAGATAGTGTTGTCGGACCAGGCTTCATTCCCCCCAATTATTGCTTCCACCTTGATTTCCAGATGATCTTGCCCTTGATCTGAAGGTGGGTTTTACTTTTATTTTTATTATTTTATTGTAGTATATATATATATATATATATTTTTGAAAGCCTGTTTTCCTGTTTTTATTTAATTTTTTGTGTGGCAGTTTTGGGGGAAAATTGGCAGTTTCGGAAGATGGGTTATTGTTTTCAAGAGCTATATTGGTGTTTAGTTATGTTGCAGATTGGTGTAATGATGAGTATCTTGACTCTATATTTTGCATCTTTTCTCAGAAAGTTGTTCATCATTACACTCTTTTTGTGTTCTCTGGGCGATTCTCTCAACCATGTTATGATGGTGTTTCTTGTGTCAGCCAAGCACTTTTCTGGGTCATCATTTTTCAGATTTTCCTCATCATCAACTCCACAACCTAAATCTGTTTTTTATGCTTCTTTTATTATCAGATCTGGCTCTTTTAACTTCGGTAGAACTCTCTCTCCTTTTTCTCTTCTTTGATGCCTCTTCTGAGGGTTTCCTGGGTAGATTTAGCACTATGAACAATCAAAGAAGCCTTTCTCTTAAATTAATTAAAATTTCTATTTTCAATTCGCATATCATCTCTGATTTACTCAGATTTTGATTTCTTTCACTGACTTTTCACTCACTATACTATGATCCTTTAGCCATCTCTATAATCCTTGTTTGTTATTGTAGTTTTTCTTCTTCCCAACCCACCAAGTTGTGTTTTTTATATGTTTCAATCATCTTTTTTTTTTTACAGATCCTATCAGATTGTGTCTACTTGTATATTTATTTATTTGTAGTGGCTGAACAGATGGAGTTGCATCAAAAGCTTTGAACTTACCAGATAACATAGTGCCCGACGTTACTGATCCAATCCATTCTATTACTGCCATTTGTTTCTTATAATGGCTGTCTTTTATTCAATTCAAAACTTATTTCTTTTATTTTCTTACATGTTTTATGCATATTGAGTGATATTAATATATTTGATAACAAGACAAAAGCTACTTCTGGTCTGAGGCAACCCACTTGCCTTGGCTTGGTTATTACTTATTATTGCACTCAACTGAAACTTAAGTTTATTTTTGTGTCCTGTCTTTTCTTTTACTTTAGTTTCACGATTTTAGCCATTAAATTAGTTGATTTTCAGGATTAACAAGTTTCTCTTTTGGTCTCTTCTAAATTTTTGCTCAATGTTAACTGGTTATTTCATGTAGATTCAATTATATTAGTAATTCTTCAATGGATATCGGCCAATATTTATTATCAGTTCACCCGCATCAGATTTTAGACTTTTAATACCAACATATCAATCGATATAGGATTGTATTACAAATATTTGTAAATTGTAAGTATCCTAGTACGACTCTATGGCTCAATGTTGCAATGTATCTTGGGGTTTAAATAATTAGGTGCAATATGGAGGTAAATCTGATTCTCTTGATGTACTTTGCAGAAGCATAGCTAGTTCTGTGACAAGTTTCTTTTGTGTTCTTCATTTTACTTTGTTTGTTGTGATTATTGTTAATCAAAACTTTTTACGTTGTGCTTTGAATCATTGACAAAAGGTAAAATGGGTTTTAATTTGACATTTTGATTGTTTGTGTTCCTATCATTCTTGTCCTTTACTTCGCTTTTGGATCAAAGCTTAGGAAGAGTAAATGAATACGATTGAAAGTAGGTAAAAGAAAACCTATATCTAGGCCTTTGGGACCTAAACAACACGTGTGATGACTCTCTCTTTTCTCATATAGGCCTTTAATCAGCCGGTGATTGTTTCTCTTTTTTTTCTCTCACATACATTTAGGCCCTATTTAGTTGAAATTTTTGTTTCTTTGTTTTCAAATTTATGTTTTTGAAAACGAAAACAATGAGAACCTGAGAAATACCTACTGTTCTTATTTTGGACAAATGAAGTCACTTTCTTTTTAAAAAAAAAATGAAAAAAATATAATAAATTTCACAATTTTAATATAATTATATTGTTTTTATCTTTAAGGTTTTAATTTTTATAACACTTACTCTCATTGAAAAAATGATTGTTATTTATTTTATAGTAAAATAAATATTTATTTATTTATTTATTTTTATATTTTCACACAATTTGCTTAGTGTAAGTAATTATACCAAAATTTTGTGTCTTGTTGTAATTTTTTTAAATGTCAAGAGAGATTAGCGTAATTTACTCGTTCATTTTTGTACAAAAGCAATTTTTTGGAATTCCTAAAAAGTGGTTTATTTTCCAAAATTTTCAACCAAAAAAAAAAAAAAAAACAAATCCCCCAACACGTTTAATGCGTTCATAAAACATATATATAATAAAAAAATCAAAACACAAGCACAGTTGAGCTATGTTCCCTGCCCAATAAAAAAAGATGACCAAGAAGGTGATTAGTCAACAATTATCTTTTGGACATAAAAAAATATGACAAAATTTTTAAAGAATACAATACATTTTTTTTATTAATTTTAAAGTGCTTTAATGGATTTTAATTGTGTCATAATTTTCAAAATACTTTTTATATAAACGGACAAAATTCACTTTAACTCCTAGGGTTTTGCTCCAAAACATTTTACTCCTTTGTCATTTAAAAATAGCCAATAAACCTCCTTATACTTCTGATCATTTTATACTTTGCCTCCTTGTCATTGTTGTTAGTTCCGTCCAAAATAACGGCGAGTGTTCTACATTTGCCAAAATTAAAAATTAGCAATAAAAATTAAAGTCAAAATCAATGTTAAAAGACAAGCATACCCTTCACTAAATCCTAGAGAAAGAGAGAGCAATTTCTCATCCAGATTTCATTGATGTCAACAAAATAGTAGTTATTGAATGATCAAAGCACATTTCATGTCATCATTCAATAGCAAATCACATTTTCGGAAAGCTTATCTCATTTTACACAGTTCAGAGTTTCAGAGCATAGCTTAGTGTCTCAAAGTACTTGTTCGAAAATCTTGAATCGTATTTCTTTTCTTATATAAAGTGTAGGTTTTATAATTTATTGCATAGTAAAACTACTTTCAAAGTAATTTATACTAAAATACCGTTACAAAGACATTACTCACCTTGAGTAGGTTTTGTCCTTCCACAATGTTCAAACGTATGCATTACACATGGGTACACACATTGGAACACATAGTTTGAATCATATAATTCATCTTCTCTTTCTAATTAAATCATTCATGTCGGTTTGAATCATGCAATTCATGCTTAGAAATGCTCCAGAGAAGATGAGAACGAAGACATGAACACATAAAGACTTATCAAAATATGCAAAAACAGGGGTCTTCGCTCGAGCCAGCTACTGGTCGCTCGAGCAGTCACAGAGGTCTGCGAAAGTACTAGAAGCTCATCAAGTTCACTCGAGTGCACACTTAGTTGCTCGTGCGGTGTCCAAATATTATGGGTTTTCCAGATTGGGTTTTCCAGATTGCTCTTGAAGTTCAAAAGTGCATCTTTTATGTTCAAAGCTTGCATGGCTTACTAAAAACATGTAGAAACCTTCCATAGTACATAAATTCGTGAAAATTATAAAACCACATACTCAAATCCCTTTCAATTTTCCAAAACAATGTTCAAAACTCCATGTTCTTGACTTCCATGTAATGAATTACCTTTATTTCTTTTCAAAACTCATGAACTTGACAACTGGCTCATGCATGTACAAAACTCCTTTCCAAAACATGAATTTAAGAATCAACCCATGATGGATGAAACATGCATGTACAAATTAACCTACAATTTCAACATATGTGCTAGAATTCAAACTCAACATGGTGAAAATTCAACAGATTACTATAAGCATGTAGAGGTTCTTCACTTTCTTGATTTTATTTATCAAAATACAAGCAAATGGTCATATATAATCCATGTACACGACTCTAGAACACATCATCTTCAAGAATTGAGAGATAAATCTCTCCTAGAGGCTTCAAACACACTTGTTCTTGCACAAACTTTGACCAAATCAAGCTAACCCTTCAATCTCTATACCTTCTCTCTAAATGAGAGCTCTCCCTCTCCCTCTCTACAATGTATAATCTGAGATTTTTACTCAAAAGTGAAGAGAAAGATGAGCTCAAATGAGCTTATGGCTCAGATATATAGCTAGGATAGCATAATGCAACTATTAGAACATTACACCAATTAAACACAAATTAATTAATTAATCTGAATCAATTTTTGATCAAACTTGCTGTAAGATTAAAAAAAATTCAATTAGCCTAATCATGTACTCAATTTTGATTTCTGGTGCTATTAAGGCCTTCAATTTCAGATTCAGGGTGGAAATCATAACAGATTTTCCTACGATCAACAGATAGTTTCCAAATTGAATAAATATACTCAAATTAATCACATGACACATATCACAATTAATAAATAACACATAATTAAATAATTATAGTCATGATATGCATGTTGGGGTGGTTATAATCAGTACCCACGATTTTTAGTTAACAAAAGTGGATCATGCAATACTATTGACACTGGATAAATATGCATTGTATATCAATTTGAATTATTTTTAGGTTAGTCGAAAAAATTATTTACATAAAAAATCAAGTTAATTAAATAGTGATAGTGATAGCTCATTTTTTGTTATAGTGTACATATTTTGTATGTATATATGTTATAATTAAATTTAAATTAGAATAAAGGTTAGAGATATATTAAAAATAATTAGGAAATTAAAATTAATTTGTGATTTAATTGAATCAATTTTTTTTTATGAGAAATTAATTTTGTTTAAGTTGGAAATTTGTTGTATAATAAAAGAGAGGGGAAGAAACAAAGAGAAATACACAAATGAAGAAAAATCAGAGAGGTATTATGGTTATTTCAAGCATTTTGTTAACAGAGTTTGTTGCAATTTAGTCGAAATCCATATGGAAGATCTCTGCCTATTTTTAAACTATAAGGGGGTAAAATGCTACAAGCCTAAACCATGAAGGAGTAAAGCGAATTTTTTCCTTGTTAGCAATAATCTGGCTTAGATTAAATCGACGGTGAAGATTCGACAGGAGAAATCGATTTTCACAAACAACCAACAGACCAAGCAATTGTGGTTAGTATCCCATGCTGTAGGCACCCAATTTTGACCAACCTTAAGACTCAGACGTCACCAATTGAGCGCTCGGTGATGTTGCATTTTGTGCTCGTTCTGAGGTTTTAGAGTCTCGGCTGCGAGCCTTGCCTCTGGACTTCGGGGCTCTTTTGTGCTTTGCCTCGGTTTGCGAACCAGGTCCTGTTTTCTCTGTTTTCTCTTCCCGAAGGGAGGGAGAGGTGTAGACACCCCATTTTTGACCGACCTTAAGACTCAGACGTCACCGATTGAGCGCTTGGTGATGTTGCATAATGTACCAATCATGCATGCTTTGTATAGCTGTAGTTCATTTTATGCGCCTAATTTGCATTTCGGGAGAGATTCCATGCATCAGGTGTGTTTTCGCCTCATTTCGGGGCTGTTTTCCCCCATATTTCAGTGCTGAAATTCTATTGGCATGTTTGCATATCATTTTCCATGCTATTGCATTGCGTATGTGTAGCAAGCCCGCGGGGGGACCTTCGTTGCTACAGTTCGGACTCGCGATTTTTGTTGTCGCGGCTCTTAATCTGAACCAAAGAGTCCAAATCTGGCAAATCGTTTTGAGAAACAGATTTTTGAAAAAGTAGTGCCAAACATGGACTGCTTTGCCAGATACAGAGTCACCACCTAAATATTTTTTATGGGAGAATTTAGGAAACCCTGACTCGGTGCCGAAGGCCACATGTCCGTCATCACCGGAGTTGTCTCGGCTCGGGAGCTTGGGTAAGACGATCGGTGGAAGTCAGCTAATAGCTAACCCTTGCCCGTCCGAAGACCGGCCTCTACTAACCATGATACCCGATTTTGAAAACGTTGTGTGTTCTTAACCATCTAGCCTAGAATTACTATGTTATGCGCACGGCAAACAAGTATAGACAGATTGCCTAATTGGAAAGGAACATTGCATATCCGTTTGTTTTGAAAATGCTTTGGAATTTTGCTACTCGCAAGTAGGCTAAAACACGGATTTCAGATGAGTTTTTCCAACTCAAACATCCAACCTTCACCCACAGGCATCCAAGGCAGTTTAATAAACAATAAGCATCTAGCCACATGTTAAGCATGCTGTCATGGCAACATTCACACTCATGCGATATGCTAAAGCGGAAATACTTACATCGTACTCCGTGCCAAACAAGTAAACTAGTTAGCAAACATGCGTGTCCTAGTTCATGTTAATTTGCCTAATGCAAACATACAGGATGCAATTAGATAGCTCGGCTAACCTAAGCATGGCATATGAATGCGATCAACTATCAATATTCAATTTTGAATTGAAGTACAAATGCAGTTAGCGTGATGTACCGAGCCTATGCATGCAATACAAATGCATGGATGCACACATGCATAGGCATAGGTATGTAAATTAAACGTGCCCTAATCTACCATCATAAGCAGGTAAATAAAAGGGAAGAAAGACGTGAGGTTGGAAGACAATACACACACTCACGCACACTTATTACATATTTACCTCACTCGGAGGGACCAAATAAATATTACAAATTAATTAACTACGCAAGCTAATTAATATTACAATTGCCTAATCAACTAAGAAATTAACTAAAACTAGAGAAAACAGGGAAGCCTCGGGAAACGCACCGCGATGCGTAGGCTGCTCTGTTTTCCTTCCTTCACTCCTCTGGAGGCTGTCAAAACCTCAGGACTGCATCCCTGGACACTGGGGAGTGCCACCGGCTGAGTGGAATCACCACCGGCAGTGGTGTGTGGCCATCGGCACAAAATGAAGCTGTCGGCAGATAAATTGTTGCCGGCGTCGGCACTACACTGCTCGGTCGGCATAGTGTTCCTGCAGAATCTGCAAAT